GATGATAAAATCTGAAAGTTCTGAGAAATTATATTTGAGTTTTTGAGCGTCAGATTATTTTTTAGTGAGGATCATCGTTTTTGTGGACTGTCATGTTAAGGCTTCGTTTCTGCTTCAAAAGTCAATAACTTCTGTCTTAAATCTGTATTTGTTGTGTTACCGATAGTTTTTGTGCATTTTGTGCTGCAGTAGTTGCATGAACGGGTGTTGCCGAAGCTTTTTTTTTTTGTGTGTGTATGTATGTATGTTTGTGTTTTTGCGCTTGCTGTCAACTCAGTGAGTAAAATGAAGAAAAATATTCCCCTGCTTAATGAATTAAAGGTATTAAAAATCTCCTCCTTTCAAGTCTTCTAAACGCAGTCAAAAAAAAAGATGAGTTTTGGCCATACTATCAATTTTAGCAACTAGTTCATCCCTATACATGCAAAAGGAAGTACTTAGACTGAGCTTTTTGTCAGAATCATAACTGTATTTGAACTTAAATGGTATGAACATCTCTAATTCATAATCTGCTTCTCCAGCTCTCCGGCTAGCAGCTTTTCCGGTTGCTACGTTACCTGGTGGTCAACCTCTGCCATTTTGAAATCCGTTTCGTCTTAAAATATGAACCCAGGCTGTAACGCAGCAGACTTGCCATTGCGATCATACGTTTTTTTAGCTAAGTTTGTTGACCGCTAGTAGCACAAATGGTTCCTGTGCCGTACTTTAACGCTTAGACTTATATTGACTGTGTTCTGGCCTCTTCCTGCATGCAAGGGGAAAAGCTCAGCTCGGATGAAGATATTGTATTACGGGACCGCATTTACCTCCTGTGTACATGATTATCAGTTTTCTGCATGAATCCCGGTCGTTTTTCCGGTGAATACTCGTTCATTTCAAAAAACGCAAATTTGAAGGAAGTCCGAAGAGGATTATGAAATTTGTAAAATGCAATCGCTTTTAAGTTTTTGATAAAGTTGAGTATTTTTCATGTCTGCGTACATGAAATTTCATGTCTTAAACTGAATTACGATCGTACATGATTATAGAGCATTCTTGCAAAGTTACAGCTTCGCATCTTGTCGGATAAATAAAATAGCCACTTCGTTATATCTTTATAGTGCCCTAATTCGTGGCGCAAGTGCACTGTAGTTTTTCTAAAACGCACCTGTAAATCACTACTAGCTTTGCATTTTATTACCCTTTTTAAAAGAAGTGCATTGAAGCTGATGGTTTAGGCTATGCATTGGGTCTTAGAGAAATGTGAATTGAATTACTAAAAAATTTTGTATTCTTTTGTATAGTGTGCCGCTGATTCGGCAGCTAATGGTGCTTATCAGTGTTCAAGTTGTATTCCTTGTTTCACACTGGGAGAAATACAACACCGGTACCTTATATTTATCTTGGGGATATGATGCCAGTCAATACGTGAGTTGCTTTTGTTCGTATTGTTAAATTTTCTTTCATTCTTTCTCTCAAAAAAAAAAATCTGTCTGGCAGCTCTCCCACGTTTTTGTTCGAGTGTAGGTGTCTGCGAAGTTCG